AAGTGGAAAGATGCAGCCTCTACCAGATGGAAATCCCAACTTTTCCTTATGGGTCAAGATTTCGCGTCCACTCTACGACGATCAATGGTCAATAACGACAGAAGCTTTGCTACAACAGAAGTGGAACTAACACCTCTACTTTTACTACATTAACTCTAAGTATCACTTTTTAAGATGTACACCATTTTCGACTGACCCCAATTGCCTGGAACGGCCAATTTCTTCCAAATAAATGCAAATAAGTTATACAGAGATTGGCTTGAGAATTTACCGTCATTCCTGAACAGAGAAAGTATTAAGTAGTCGATACCAGGAGCGCGATGACGCTTCAGTATGGACATAAACTCAAATACCTCTGATGCTGAAGGGCGTTCCATATTTACAGGTCGATGGTCCCGGTTGAAAGTAGCAGGTAGCCACATGCATTGTTGTTGCAATTATACTGCGCAACGAAGCGAACTTTCTACTTTGTTTCATACCACAGAGCCGTCGTGGTCCTTAGTGTTTTCACTGACAAGAATCTTCCGAGAATCTATGGAATGAATCAAGTGGAACAATCTACAGACATTTCCAGCATTTTTCGCTCCTTCCATTTCTTCGACACTCTAGATCATTAAGCTTCCCTGTGTGAAAATACACTAGGTTTAGCCCGGCGTCGGATGACTCGTCAAGTTAGATCGTTGTTAAAAGACAGATTCTATCATCCAACCTCCAGTGGAGTCACAGTAGCATCACAAATCCATTGCTTGGAAGAGACCGGCTTTTGCCGCAGGTGAATTTTCCGGCATTGGAATTTCTGGATTTCTCTCCAGAGTCAAAATCTGATTCCGACCAATAAGTGGAGGTTGAGGAGTCGAGCCCGACAAATTCGTTTGATTTCTGGCTCCATGAGCTCTTCAGTGGCCATGCGACGTGAGCTCGTTCTCCGCAAACCTGAAAACCTCAACGGCCAGAGTACGATCGGAATCCAAACAGCACTCCAAAAGTAGCGTCAGAGGGAGACAGATTCTCTTGATCGGCAGCTGGTAGCAGTGGGGTCTATGTGGGCTCGGGTGAACACCCTGTAGTCAAAAGTTTGATGCTATTTCGGAAATCAGTACTGTGAAGGAAGTTTGTTGTCAGCCCGTGTGTCAAATCAAATTTAAAACAGTCTGATTAAATCTCAGAGATGATGTGCTTGTCTACCAGCGCGTTCATATCATAGCATTTAGGTCGTTGCAAAGAATATTTAGAAAGTCGCGGAAATTTCTTTAGGTGGACGTAGTGCTTTGGCCCATCGGGGCGTAAGCAAATAAAATAGGCGGAGAGCGAGGTTCTTAGATGGATATTGTTCAACGAATCCCGCAGCTATTCCTATCTTTAAAAGGTGTACGCGGTTGCCGTGTGAAAATCACCGTGGCTTTAGCTCAGTGGTTGTCAATAAAGGTATTCTTTGGTCCTATTTATCGAAGGTTGACAGAACAGATCCGTGAATACCAACCTGGGTTCCGTCCTACAATAGGATGCATCGACCACATTTTCACCTTCCATTAGATTCTGCTTCCAGCAACCAACAATGGTGGTCTTTCTTGACTTGAAAGCTGCCTTTAACCCTGTGGACCGCCAGTACAATGCCAGGGCCTATTGAGCATCGGTGTCCACCATAAATTTTTGTCCATCCTTAAGGCGCTGTACGCCAACAGCCATGAACGTGTGAGGGCCTAAGGGAAGCTCCCGCCTGAGTTAAGCGCATAAGGTGGTGTCAGACAAGGCTGTCCTCTTTCACCTTTCCTCTTCAACTCCGACACTGATATGTCTACGTAACGCTTATCCCCAGCCTCTGAAGCCTGCAAGATCAATATGCTCCCAGGGCATTTGCTTAGACATTCCAAGTACGCGGATCGTTTCACTCGAGACATTGTAGCGTGTGCAAACCAAGGAGCATGTGTCTCAAGGTGAGCTTCGAAGGTGCGCGCAACAATATGTGGTTTCACTAAAGCGAATTCAAGTGGAATAGCATCTATCTGTTATTTTATCTGCTGTGTACGCCATAAATTCGTCATCAATAAGTTGATCAGTCAATAGTCTGTCAAACTGTAGAATGTCTACTTCATATTGCTTGAAACAACCTGACAGGTTTTCTGACAAGCGACAAGGCTAAATGATAATCTGTTTCATGATGATATATGTGCATTTAAGAGTCTGTATCATTTGAAGGAAGGTTAATATCCAAAGTTGTGATCGCGCCGCCACTCAAGGTGATTCGGGGAAAACACTAAGATACTTTTGTGTCCCTAACGTCTATTCGTGACTGGGAACATGAGATTCTCGTCTATTGTTCAAATGGGACAAAAATTCGCTATAGTTGTGGTTACGGAACATGTCTGCGCATGAGAAAACGGTGATCTACTTGAACAAGAAACAGTGATGGATACAGCATGTAACTCGAGGAGCTAACAACGGAATTTATAGAATGTTGGCGCATTCCTGATGAGTGATTGGAAACGAACTTATGTACAAGTGAAACTGGGTCGCTTTGCGCATGTTATCGGTCGTATAGATACGTACTCTGGATTCGAGACATTTCCCTACCTGTATGTCATGTCTTTGAGGGTCGCACCAGCGTCTCTAAAATCGGTTGATCTTAGAATGAGGGTTGTTTCGCCCTCATCATCACATGTGAAAAGCTCTCATTGTAAACAAGACACCGATGCTTCAGTCCTGCTACAGGTACAGCGGGCGCGAAACAGAATGCACTTGGTTGTCTGGTGTCCCGGTAAGCATATCAGTGCTCGGCGTCTTGTTTCCACGACGCACTTGATTGGACACTCAACTCTCATCCTCGCAAAATTATTCTCACCGCGGTCGCAGGGGCATCCGATGCCAGTGCTTTGCCAAACTGGACGCGAAAACTGGACAGGCCTGGATTACTAAGTGTGGACGTACAAACAAGTTCGCAACTGAGCCAGGTGTATTATGGTGAATTTTACAGCGCTAGGGACAAATTCATCTGAACAGGTGACAAGTGGACTGCGCTAGGAACAGTTCATTCCTGTCAAATCGTCGTGGTGTTCTTACGGCCCGCTCAAAGTCAAGATAAGGCCTTTCATGTTGAAACTTGATTTGAATGTTACATGCGCGGTGACAGCAAGGTCTAAACACGTCATGATTTTTGCATGTTTATTCTCGCTCATTCGGCTACCATACACTCTGTTCGGTTTTGCCCTCGAGAATGTTAGCCCCAGCTCATTTGGGTAGTTGTGGGCGGGGACAGGATCCGTCGAATTTTACAGTCACATTACTCTCATTTGAACAATCCTCCCTCTGTCCCAGTACAGTTATTCTGGTCGGTCCGTACCAAACAGGGGAAGCAGAGAACTCGAGTTTCGTTACCCTAGAGCTTACCATCAGTGCGTATGCTTGGCCGTTAGGGGATTTGAACCTCGTAATTTGCGTAAGGGTGATTGATAGTTGACTAAGTAGATTAAATACGGCTGAAGGATAATTCTTCGGTGTATTTCTTCACCAGCGTAGTACTCGGCGCTGTTCCTCACAAAGAGGGATGAAAATAGACCATTAGGCACCATGGGGTTCTCCAAAGCAGTGCACCTGCACTGTATGCATTTTTTGGAAGATGAATCAGCTGCCTTTAAGGATTTGGGGAAATCTCCGAAAAACATGCACAAGTATAGCACTATTGAAGACACAATAAGCTAAGGGTTCCTCACCGTACAGGGTGAACTATTTTGAATACTAGTGGTGCATTCTGAGTATTACTAGCCCCCTGAATCCCATCCAACGCCAGTTGTAACCGAACGTCCACAGTCACATCCGTTCAGTCCACAATGCAAATGTGGAGCGACACAGAGCACGGAGGGACAAAGAGAATGACCGCGTCTGGGCTGTTGCAATCCAGCCTTCGGTAACCTAACAGTAGCTGCGCCCTCGTTCTTCTCTTGGAAGCTGAATACCAGAAAGGTGTTACAGCTAAAAGACTCTTCTATTGTTATTGGATGAGACACATAATGAATTCATATCACACGGAAATAAAAAGCTTTTGATGTGGTAATGTGTTATCACAAGTGTTTAAATTACGAGACCCAATCGGTCAGTTTCTTCTTCATATGCAGAGAGCTGTTCCTTGACTCTTCCCAGACCTTCCAATTTTTCAGCTGACTACTCTGGCACATTGGTTGATTCACATTCTTGTTGTCCCTATGCACACTCTCAAGGATGCAACCATTAATATTCTAGCAAAATTCTAAAATGCGTTATCGTCGGCCTTTAGGGTGTAATCAAATTCAGCAGGTCAATCATGCGATCAAAATGTGCCGCAGTATGACCGGCGCCGGGCCATCAAAGACGCTTTTATTCAGTCTCCCCTTCAGTGTTACATGAGTTGACTGTAAACTGCACAGGCAGACACCAGGGCCGACGACATTTTACGACAAACTCAGAGCGACACATCACAACCAGAGACGGGATTAATAATGTATTCAGTTCGCTCGATGGCAGGAGGGATATTCGACTCTGAGAGTACCTCAGCCAACGGCGCCGAAGCTGTATTTACTTACCCTGCACCACTGAGTGACGGTGTATTAAGGGGCGGCTCCTAGTAACACTTGATGGTGTCATACTATGTGTGGTGCGGTATTACGCTGTAACCTAAAGGAATTGAAAGATGGTGTCGGTTCCTCAGGGAGAAACAAGTAGTTGGTGCCGATGCCCGTTGTTTTGTCACCAGGTTAAGTCCGTCGATAGCCTACAATTTTCTGCATGTTTACCTGCCGATCTTATTCCCTCGGGTTCAGAATTGCACCGGAATCTTGCGAGCCACATTGGGCTTCGAGTAAAAAGAGCCTTATTATGCACAGGCACTCAGTAGCTTGAACACTGTTACTGGGCAGATCCCGCTCGGATACCAGCCATTAACATTGATTGGTGAGTCTCAACGGAATGGGGAACCTTGAGAAATGAACTGAATTGAATCACTGGCGTAAATAACCCTGGTGAAAACCTACCTCTTTTGGGACCACCTTGTCCTCACACGACCCAACCGCCTTGCGTTGCGAATAAAGGAACTCTGCCAGCTTGTGCATCCGATGAAGGTCTGCAAAAGCAAAAGGACATCGTTTTCGGTTTCGGCGGGCGAAATTCCACAATAAAAGGACAATCAGCCCAGCGAAAACCGTCTAGGCTCAGTTATTCGCAAACATTCAGTGATTTGACTACTGTTGACCGACGAAATTAGGATCCTAGCCGTTCAAATAAACATCATGAGCTACACATGAGACGAAAACACTAGAGATACTAGTCCAGTTGAACAACTGTCGCGGTAGGGGGGTTTCACTATGTTATTAAAAAACAACAGGCAGGCTCATGTAAACTACTGTCAGGAACTGGGACATTCCACCATGAACGATTTACAACGTTCGGTTTTCCATTTGTATCGTTTTTCTTCTGCAGTCTGATACTACCCTCATTCAACAGTGTACATCAAAACTTACTATGTCTAACAACAGGACGATTTTATTGTTTTTGTTTCGCTTCTGTTACTCTGGTTCCTATTCAGGTAAAACTGAGTTATTGATCGGGTCGCTTGATCGACTCTGGTACTTTCGTCCGATACCGTACACCTAATACTCTTTGGGACGCGTACTGATGATAATCCTCACTGAAACATCTGTTCATTTGTTCGTTCGCTATAACCAGGTGGAACGTTTTGTGCTGCAGGTAGTACAAGGGTGTGGGGAGCTGATTAAAAGTTGTTTTAGGTTCGGTCTATAGCGCAGCTTTAACAGATCTGTCAAAATAAACTGCAAATCAGATTCGGCACTTACCGCCTTGCCTCTGGCTATCCTGATTGCTTCGACAGCACTTCATTGCATCCCAACCCGATTCAGGCAAAGTTGAAGACAATATTCCGTTGGCGGGAGTTATTAATGTCTTTTTGTCGTGCTCTTCATGATGGGCGGATGTCATCTGCATTTGTCCACCAGGAATTTCTACTGTTGGAAAAACCACCTGATTACCAACCTCGGTCACACCTAGCTAGGGCAAAAAAGAGTTGATAATTGTGTATATAAGAGGCCCATTACTGGTAAGAAGGTAGGGTGCTTTTGCATGAAAACACCATACAGATAAGTGAAAGCTGTGATATACTAATGCATGACGTAAAAACCCTGTGATTATTACCTGATCTTTCCCAATGTCCTCGGATCTGTCCAGACAAGCGAGAAGCAAAAAGGCCGGTGTGGTCGTGAACAACTCAAATTGCCATCGAACTTGGTCAGCATCAGGAACGGGGAGCTCGTAGCCACCAACCGCCATCAAACCCGGAGCACTGAGTAAAAAAAGGCGAGTTGAATGGGCGGAATTCAGCATGATGATGATTCACCCGGTCAGTGAAGTGGAAGTTACTTTATCCGGCCCTGGTCATTATCTAAACAGATTTCTGAACAGGGCACCATATTTAGTGCCATTGTTACCCGTTGTTCCAGTATTAACATATCAACCCAAAGTATTCGGTCCCCAGATCATCCTGAGTCTAATAACCCAGCCGTCAGCCTCTTGGAAGAGCAGTATATGACTCTTTGGAGGTTGGATCTTTAGAAGCAGCTTCGTTCACAACCAAAGGAATCACATGAGACCCTTGATTGTTGCATGAAAAGGCATGGCGAAGCAACGTGAGAGCTTGGGACCACTACAGTGGGGTGTTCCATCCGTTTGCATGTCATTACTGTTAGAAAGCTTAGTTTCATCATAAGGGCACCAGGCTTTATTAAACTAAAGATAAAATAACAAGGTTATGATCTGTCCGAAACATTTGTCAACTAATGTTGTTTGACCGTCGTTAGGAATTGGATGTGGCGTCTTAGTCAGGAGTCATCCTAAGCCCCTTGATGTTGGGAAGAAACGCTGAAACTCTGAGTTACTAATCGCTGATCATCTGTACCAAAAGGATAATTCCCCTGTATTTCCCTAAACTAGAAAATCACGCCGCCGCTAAGCGTCCCAAAGTTACTGGTTCCTCCCAAAAGACAGATTCTTGGTCTCCGAATTGCGTGTCAATCACTCGAATAGTGAAATTTTTCACCATGCCCCTGATTCATCAACATCACCCTGACCTTAAGATTTCACTGGCTGGACAGTTCGATATGCTTACAACAGCTAACAAGTAGAACGTTGTCCAAAAAGAGTGATCTACCAGATGACCTTTGTGTTGTCTCAGTTGTCTCCCAGTTCAAATAGACTTAGAAGGCTGTGCGCTGCGTGACACTTGGACAACCTTCGGTCTAACCGAACAGCATTACGAAAAGTTTGCGTAACGTTTGAGTAACAACGGTCTCTCATACGGTCCACGTGACACTTCTAATACCCCAATGGGAGTGCTGTGAGTTATGCACTTCAATCAATGTCATCGATGTTCTTATTGCCAAATTCTATCTCGGATGTCTGACATATTGCAGGCTGACGCTAGTTCTTTCTACTCTTTTCCTTCAATTTTTTTCCCGCAGGGTGTGTTCCAAACAAAACTCAGACTACAGAGCAATGAGTACTCGGTTGTCATCACAAAAGTTGGGGTCGATGATGCAGCCTGGCACAAAATCCATCGCATTGTAGCTATGCTGAATTCGATGAAAACTTATGCAGAATTGCCTTCGCCTGTATAATCCCCATAACCTAGGCGCATACCCATACATGGAGGATGAGCGTCACTTTCACGAGTAACGCAACGTAGACTAGCTGATTTGGTCTGTACGGTGACCTTTGGCAGGACTTGACCCAGTGCATTCTCACACGAATATCTCACGCGTCCTACAATAGTCATCAAAGTTGTCATCAGACCTAGCTCCCGCTGTGGTTACAGCTGAGCTGCAGTGCACATTATAGACCGAGATCAATGTCTGAACTTAGCTTATCTGATGACAACGAAGGATTGAGCTCACTAATTCTCAACTGTATCTCACAACTTATTCACCGTAAGTCGACAGGAACAGAACATGTCATCGCATGTGCGAACTGTAGAGTAGAATTCTCCTTCTCAGTTCCTGTGTAGTATGTTTCATATAGTTCAGGGTGGGCACAGTTGGAACAAAAGTGTCCAGATTATTTAAATACACTCTTCAACACAGTTAGGAAGCAAATCTTTGGCTATTTCTGACCAAGGCTGAGGCGCCTAATCGGTTATCGAAAATTCATGGTAGGTGAACGTTCCGCTGCGCTCTTCATCAGAGGTGATTTGAAACCTTTCACTGGTTTCCTCACACCCCGCGGAGGATCACTAGGATCCACTTCGTGTTTTCGAAGTATACGTGTAGGAAACGGCTCCTCAAAAAGCAAGCGATACTTGTGATTTGAGGAAAATACACAAATCGGGACTGCTTTATTACCCGATGAGAGAAATCCCTTACTCATTTACAAAGCTTTCCCCTTAGAAAAAGGTCCCCGTTAATAAAGACGAACCTGTTAAAAGTGTGAATAATCCAGTTGTTGAAAGGCCACTTCTCCTAACCCCAAAGGCATTAGCTTTTAACATGAAATTCCTCTGTAACACCATCTAATCGCCTAATCTGCTGCGGGGTTTCAAATTTTCCACACCGATTAGTACATGCTAACTGTAGGTAACTTGACATTACGTGTGCGCACCGGAATGGCGGGAATAACTGAGGGCTGTGCGGACCTAAACAGGAGTAAGAATTTAATGTAAGATTCTTGTTTTGCCCCCAATTGCCCAGTCTTTCCTAAAATTATCAAGTTCGAAGGAGTTTACTATAGCATCATGCACTGGCGCAACCTAATTGGTCAGCTGAGCAAAACAAACCAACTGTCACTCTAACAAGCTGAACCGCCAAAAATGCTTTCTACGATTATGAAGATAATGTGAAGCATTACTAATTTTCACCATGTCTGAACTTACGACGGCAACGGCTGATTTCCTAGATTAGGTATCCACTTGCTAGATCAATAATACTACACCTCTGCTGTCCACTCCGTTTCTCCGCTTTCAGCCCAGAGAACCAAGCTAGCTGTTCTTTGAGGCGTCGAGCTCGCCTATGATCGAACCATGTATCCAAGTTGCAACCTCAAAGTAAATCGGTGTTTTCGTCCATATCCGAATAACACAAAATATTTATTAACTATGCTACTCCACTTAGATGACGTGGTATAAGTTTAAAGGTTGGACAATACTCTTCATTTTATGAGAGTTCCGCTTGGTTCAGTCAAGTCCGCCTGCACTTTTGGTTTACACTACTAGCTACAACATCGCTACGTAGAAAAGACAGCAACATTCGTCAGATAAATAGTTTCACCAATTTTCAATTTGCCAGTTTTCCCCGTCACCAGTGAAATTTAGATGGACAGAGATATTTTAAATTTACTATTCGTGTCCAACTATGAGTGAGTATATAAAAATGCAGAAAAACTCCTATTTTATCAGGTTTACGGTAATTTAATGCCGACTACAATCGAAACGACTGGAATAATAAATGATCTGTACTTTATATGATACATATAGAGACGAACATCAGCACCACGTGACCATGTACAAGAGTGACGCATAAGTGACGGTTGAGCAGGAGATTTTTCAGGCACAATTTCAACTAATACAGCAGGCCATTCAGCTGATTTTGGATTATTCAAGGCAGAGGCCTCAGTATCCAACATGGCAGAAATGAAACTTATCAATGCAGGACCGAAACATAAAGATAAGATAATGACCATAAACAATAAATCTAAAGGCTCGAAGAAGCAAGTAACAAGTAGCATCTATATCGGCTACCACCCGAGGATAAATGCCCTGCAAATTGATACAGAGCAACCGATCGGTCAGAATCCACTTGGTGTTTCCACAAGTCGAACAAATACAAGCTCTGATATATGAGAAGCAAAACAGGAACATTGTAAACGAAAGATTTAGGGGAATTCAAGTAAAATATGAGTCTAACGAAAATCCAGAGACCACATCTGTCTGAGGAGCCCGAAGAAAGGCGGAACTGTTCATGGGCCGTCGAAGAATTTCCAGCAAACTTATGAGTAGTGCACTCCGTAGGCAAATTGGGGATTCTAAGCAAAAGGCGGAACGTTCATGGGCCGTCGAAGAATTTCCAGCAAACTTATGAGTAGTGCACTCCGTAGGCAAATTGGGGATTCTAAGCAAAACCCACGTCACGACAACAAGTAGTACCGTTTTCCTCCAATCAAATAGAGTATCATGAGAAAACGCAGGGTGGGCTTATATGAACGATGAGATTGCATATGAACTCGAGATCAAACAATCCTCAAATTGCTGCTCAGGTATGAGGTAAAATGATGCAGCTTCCAGAGCATAGATATACTTGATGAGCCCCAGGGAGGGTGAAAACGGTTGTAAGTTGTCTGTGGATTTTCAGCAGTCGTACCGTACTACTTACATAAGATATAAGCGCAGTGCTTGCTATAAATCCTTTAACAACTTTGAGGGTGGTTCCTATTATCTTGGTACCATAGCATTCCAGAAGTGTGAAACAAAAAATGACTTTGATTTTGGGCATAGCTCTTCCCCGACGTACCGTGAACCCTAAGCCCACTACCCGTGCAAGAACCCAACTAGCCCTTTCGTGACAACCAATTAAGTCGATTCCAGATTCACCAAAATTAAACCAGCGTAGATGCTTTTATCAGAAAATGGACACCCTTTTCGGTGGAAGAATTGTGGAAATAACAGTGCGGATATAGGGATCAATTTCGACTCTTCAGCGACCCAACGGTATTCCTCTCCAGGAGTATTTTTTTAATTGTTAAACTGTCGGATTCGCCCCGATGGGAAACTAGGACACAAACCATGGGCAAGAGTTCAAGTCCAAGATGAATAACAGTATGGAGGTGGTATTCACTTCAAGACTGCCAAACCATTAGGACACGTGCCATGTGACTGAGTGTCCGCCATCGATGGACTCTCCCTAGCAGAACTACAAAACTTTAACTACTTCTACTTTGGTGAGTAGCAGAGTTTTTATGAAAGTCATTAGCGTAGCAGCCGCACTACCGGAGGGATCGGCTGGGCAACAAAACATCGCTAGGACCTGTGTTCGTCAGCTGAATTGTTTTCCCGATGAACTAGCGCGAACCAAGCCGGGAATACGGACCGAATCTGTATGAAACTTTCGTATTACACTTGCCTAACAAGAGAATCAGTAATCGTTCAAGTGAAAACCATTAGGAGAATGGCCTCAAAACCCGCTACTCGACATAGTTTGTGCAGGGGACGACACAATGGAGCGTAGAGTTGATTCAAGAAGAGACCTTATATGACTAGGCTTTCAGCGACGCCAGAAGTGAATTGATCTGGTGGAAACTGGATGTCTTCTGAGGCTAATCAACGTGTCGTTTGCATCCACCAAATGCTCCCAAGAGATCTGTTGTTATGCAGCCTCTGCTGAAGATGTGCACTTCACTGTATTCTTGTGTGGATGTTTTCTTCAAACTGAAAAGACAAAGTCAGGTATTTGGCGCCATAGAACAGCCGATGTTTCACTGAAATTCTGTCAAGGAGAATCGGCTAGATTTTTATTCCAAGCCAACAACGGCGAGAACATGAAACATTTCCGGCTGCATCTATTCAGATCGTATCGGATTGTGTAAAGACACAAGACACACACAAGGTGAAAAAAAGTGTGTGATTCATGGAACATTACTTCAGGGAACCATCAAAATTAGTCAAACCAACGGTGCTTCAGGGAAAGAGTGTGCCCTGTGTTAGCCCAGTGGCTGAGGCAATCAGCAAACAAGCAAGGGTTCCTAACATAACAGAATCCACTAATGTCGATCGGTGGAAATTCCATACTCTGTAGAACGACTGCGGTCGGAAAATGACGGTGTGCATTCTCCATGATTAGATAATAGATATCAGATGCTCTCCTGAGACCATAACACCAAAATCAAACACCATACAAATCCCCGTAGCAGGAACGCACACTTATCATTGGCTCTACTACAGCGGTACAGTGGGCAACCTCGGTATCTAAGAGGTCATCCTTGGCTTGAGTGACCACGCCTACAAGGCACTCTTATCTTTAAACCGTTTCACTCAGATTTGCGGGGGAGATCCTGGTGAATGTAGCCCGCTGAATTCAACTAGGAGTGATGTCTACGTGTGTAATTCTTCAGTAGATTCCACGGTTGGAGAATGCCTTTACTACGGTAGGCGAAACGTGGCCCACAGGGTATCTAGACACGGTATGCTGCTAAACCTTCGAACAGGCTGACTAAGACACTATATCTGCCACGCCTCGGGTGAGTGCGGTTAAGAGCTATATCAGTGGTGCAGTGCTTCCCAACTTCGCTGGGTCGAACCATATCGTCATCACTAACTCGCGCTGTTTAGTGACATGGTATCTCGACAGGTCACCGGTCTTATCGAGGAGCTGAAACGGGAATCACAGCGGGAGTGAACCATACCATCGTTCTAGCGACAGTTGAAACCCATCTTCCTAGATTCTGAAAATGTATTTCCATCAGTGTATTTTCATTCCGAGGCAAGAACTCAAACCAAACTCATTAACAGCATACAACTGACATCGGGATCCTTGCATCACCATGAAGATCACTCGGTTCCGGTGGATGATGAGTGGTCCATGTTTAAAGCATCTATCAAACAAGCCCCGAAAGACAATTTTCGTTAAATCACGCACTCAAGATAATTTTGTGAAGGGAAGTGAAGTCTGCTAGCCCGCGAAGTCTCACGTGTTCAAACTGGTTATCCACTTAGTCCTTACTAAAGGCTATCCCTTCACACATAATACTTCCACAAACTGCAAGTTTTTTATTGTTGTTATCTAGGGAGCGTTCGACCACTCGGGAATGTATCCATGAAAATTACTGTGGCATAACGACCTCAATCGTACAGTCACGTTGCCCGAGAAAGCGTTTTGCAAACATGCTTTGGCTCCTTCGCCATGCTCAGAGAGAGACTTTCGTGTTGGAATGCAGTAGGAAAACGAGATCGCCGCTGTAGAGTCAGATTTGGAGGGGTTCAATCTGAAACTGGATCTCATTCTTCACAGACCTGTCATGTTGCCACCATGCGTTGGTAACAATACGGGACATTTGTGAAGCCGACTCATTCTGTCACAGGGGCCAATGGCTCTTCTGCAGAACACATTTTTGGAACCTATGACAATTAAACACGAAAACTTTCTATTGAATTCTGACGACAGTAGACGAATGGTAAATTGCTGTTTGAAGCAACAATATTTAGCGGTTGTTCGGCCGAAAGTCCTTGTACGGAAGCATCTGGCGCTTCAAAATAATAACGACTCTTCATCGCCGAAGCAGCTTCCTAAACAAAAGTGAAGCACAAACCAGTGATCTCGGGTAGGACTCCACAAAGAATTTTCCGGCAACTAAGACTAAAGGCACGGCAGTTTTCTTCACAAAGCAATTAAAAAAAGATACCTCTTGTTTCTAAAATGGCTATAACACCACGCCCTAGATCACGCATTCGAATTTATCGTCAACTGTGGCGTTAACTGATCATAAAAGCTGTCTCGACAAATAGGTGGGCTACTCTTCACACTCATGTCTTAGCGGATAACTCAGTCGAGGTTACGCGCAGTTTATAGGCAACCAAGCTAAGAAACTAGATGAAACTCCGTAAGATAGCTCCATTTTTACTGAGTCCTCAATAATTGAGGACATTCCTTTTTTTACTGTAAAACATATATTCGCAGTGAATTGCTGCGTTTGCTGGTTCCCATCCTAGTCTGGTACATTTCTGCCAGCAAGATATTCCAACGCGGACCCAAGCGCTCTTTGGAATAACCGAATAAGAACTATTCAACTTGAAGATTAGACACCCAACTCATGGACGCTGGATTATCATACTACCTCCACGACGTCATTTGTCGGTAAGGAAGTTGTACAGGAAAGGAAGGACATAGCAGTATACAAACCAGTATTTTTACCCACTAGGTTGCGGACAGAAAATCGACATTTGAAAGGTGTAAATGTGAAAACAAGGAACAGGCACGTACTTTTTGGGATTGAACGACCTTTTTGGAGCCCAGGATATGAATAGATCTCGATGCTGTACAGTTAAACGGGTCACCGCTTCCAGTTCTTTGTCCCTTTCATCCAAAATATGTTCGTTTCGATAGCAGCCCTAGATGGGAACCACAGTACACCCAGAGAGTTGATCATAGGCCTTTTGAATAACACACAACAAACTTAGTGAGATGTACAGGATTTCGAATTTCAACGCAGAGTTTGTTGTTCTATAACTCTCACAAATATGAAGCAAGGTAGACGCAGGACCAACACCGATTATTTCATCTACCAGTCGACACACCGATTGGTTAAATGTGTATACCTTGATCCAGTTTTAGTTCAATAGGCCCATTCAATTATGGGTACACGGAGTCCCCCAAATGGAGACCAAAATGCACCTTACAATTGTCACAAACCACGAGATGGCTGAAAGTATAGTGAACTAGCCAAACTTCGGAACTAACGGGCCGATAACCAGATGGCTTAGAACCCGCTATTTTGTCAATTTTAAGGACAGGATTCTACTGGGATTCTACTGGTCCCGATTTAACTCAAGAAACGATACAAGAAAGGTCATGTGTAACGTAAGTGAACCAATGGGCCATAACACGTGATTAATACGCGGGCTGGCTGTCCACTGGCAACTCAGGTGTCATAGCACCTTTCGAGTTGCCAAACTCTCCTTACTTAAGATGGAGAAATAGCGGGTGTATCAGCTTTGAAGAAGCTGTATTTTGGTACTTTATAAACACTTCAGTTGTTGTCTGCAGGCAAATAAAAGTCCGCTCCAGAAAAGGAAACGCATAAAATGGGAAATCCAGTGGGAGCTGTGCAAAAGCCTCGTCATAGAACTTCTATCCAAAAGCAGTGTTTAGAAATAGTACATAACTTACGGACTGTATCTCAAACGGCTCAAACCGATAAACACGAAGCCCGCAACAGGGATAGATCATATTGGGAGGCGCGGGACTATCAAAGGAAAAAAAACGGAGTTAATAGCAGAAGAGTGATGCGCTGAAGAAAAACATTTGTCTGCACGAGATGCAATATTTTGAATACATGAAATTCGCAAGGACAACCCATATCATTGTAGACAACACCGCGGGTGAACGTGGTTTTGCTGTCGTATGCGAAGAGCTCAAAGGTGACCGGTGAAATTGCTTGCCACATCATGTTCCAGGCTAACCTAAACAGTAAAGCGATTCCCCAAACTCTGGAGCATTAAACCACAGGGTAATTATGTGAAGCATTAGTATCACAGCCCATTGGGAAATGCAAGTAACTATAGCTCACGTGTGGTCTGCTGCTGATGCACGCTAGCCGTACATTAAAATGATCGACCCGAAAACGGACGAGACCCTAGAAGAGCAACAGCAACACTTTCCATGGCCAACATTTAGCTCGAAATCACCCAAGCTAAAACGGTGAACACACCTGGAAGAAGCCAAATCGCTTGTTGGTGTGCGAGGAAGTGAATCTGCTGGGCACCACACAGTTAAATGTTGGATTGTGTGATCGAATAATACTTTGTGGGCCATTGTGGGTGGTTTGAATTCCAATGTTCGCAAATCCGGTCCCATAAGATAATCTATAAGACCATTAGAACTACCCACATTGTTCATTTTTACCTAACACAGCACCGGGCTATATATATATATATATATATATATATATATATATA